GGGGGCAAGAGGGGGAGGGGCAGGGGGCGGGGGAGAGCCGGGGCCAGGGAGGGGAGGACCGGGAAGGAAGGGGTGGGAGCAGTGGGGAAGGAGGGATTGGAGGCCAGAGAGATAGGGGTAGATAAGGGACGGAGAGGCCAGGAAACAGGCTTTGAAGGGGGACTGAGGGGAAAATGATGAAGGGGATAGAGCTCCAGAAAGGGGGTGGGAAGGTAGAAGGATAGCGTTGGGTGAAGAGCTGCAGAAATAATTTGGGGGTGGGAGCTGAATGATGAGGAAAATATCTAGGAAATAGACGAACAGAGTCTTAGGTGAAAACATAAGGGTGAAAAGAGAAGACAAGTAAATGGGGGGAGATATGGTGAGGGCTTAGAGAATGGTAGGGGGGTAGAAAAAGAGAGGAGGATGGAGGGAGAGAAGGGGCCAGATGGAGAGAGAGGGAGGCAGTGGGGGAGTGGGAGGGGGATGGAGGGTCCAGATGGAGGGAAGAGAAGAGAGAGAGGGAATGGGTTGGGGGAAGGGAGACAAGGGCAGGGGAGAGGGCCAAATTATGTGTGGGGGGGGGGCAGATACAAGTAAGATTGAGTGATGGGAGTAGGGGCCAGGTTAGGATCCTGCCCCATACTCTAACCCTCCTTAAGGCCCCTGACCAATGAAATGTAACCCCTAGGGTCTTTTCTGCTCTCTTCACTTCACCACTTTTACCCCCCTCCCCCACCTCCAATCCTTATTTCCATTCCCCCTCCCTTCTCTGCTGTCCATCACCTATATGTTTCCCCCCATATGGTGTCCGTTCCTTATATGAGTCCCCCTTCTGTCCCTCCCCTATATCAGTCCCCTCTCTGGTGTCCATTCTCTCTCTCCCTCTCCTCTATCTGGTAGCTCCCTTATAGCTCTACCTCCTATCCCCTCTCTACCCCCTCCTTCTTGGCCCCCTTGTCCTAGCCGCCCTATTAGGTCCACCTCATTTCCTCTGCCCCATGTCTAGTTGAGCTCTTCTGATGTATTCTCTTGTCCATAGGCATTTATCATCATCTCTACCTCCTTTTCTTTTAGATCCATCCCTGTTATTTGTCCCCCAGCCCATTTACTATTCCTTACCTACTCCCCATCTTGTCACAAGTCTGTCCTTACCCACTTTTCCTTAATAGCCCAGCTCTTATCACCATTCCTTTCATCTCCTCTACTTTCTGGAGTGTTGGAGATTTGGGGTGAAAAGACGAGGTTTTGGTGGTTGGAACAAGTACTAAAAGGGATCCCCATCTAATCCCTTGTGGGCTTTCTTATCCTAGTAAAATTTTCCCCCTTTTCAGCCATGTTCCTCTGCCTCTTGCATCTTACTCTCAGAATCATTGTTCCCTAAGTCCAGATGCTGTGTGTATGTTCCCAGAGTTGCTCCTGAGCTGAGTTCCCTGTGTCCTTCCCAGCTACCGGGAGAAAGATGCCCCCTGAAGTCTAAGCTGCCTCTCTTGGCTGCAGCCTGAACCAACCCGTCCCATAATGGTTATGTGTATCAACAGGTTTCTCCCCTGGGTATACTGAGTGTCTGAGTGCAGTGGGCATGTTGCTTGCAATGTCTGCAGTCTCAGAGCCTAGATATTTGTAATCTCTTATCTAGAAAGTATTGGTTAGGAGCCTCTGAAATGGCATTGAGATAGTGACAGTTTCAAAGTATTGTGGTTTCTAGATAGTGGACATCTATATTCTGGGGGTTCATCTCCCACTCTGATCTGGAGGTTGGGTACATTTGAGGGATATGTTGTAGAAAGAAAGGGGCTGGATTTTCAAAACTCTCCTACTCAGGGTATTCTGTTGGAATGAAGCTCAAAGACCAGTTCTCCTGCAATATGCCCATGAGTTATCCTGTAAAGGTGGCAGAATTTGATTTTTCTTCCTCTAAACCCTCTCTAACTGTGATATCTTAAGCCTAATTTCTATTACTTTGATGTCCCAATCTGACTTCTCTCTTACTTCCATAGGGCTTGTCCCCTGAAATCCTTGTGTTGATGTGTGGCATTGGGGTTTAAAGGAGAGGCAGTTTGCAGAGGGGGTCATGGCAAGAAAAACAGCAAAGTTGGGGAAGGGGGACCCTGGGCACATCTCTGAGTATGGGCAACCCTTGATCTACTGTTTTTCTCTTCTGGAAGTTTTGTTCCCATCTCCAGCTCTCATCTTTGGAGACCCCCTCTATGTCACCAGGCCTGGATATTCCATTCTTCCTTCCCTTCTTTCTTCAAGCTCCTTTCTAACTGTGCACTGCGGAGTTGGCTTCCATCTTGTCCTTGGAGACTAGGTAGGGAGGGAAGGCAGTATCGAATCTTTGATCTCTGGCCATGGAATGGGGGAAGAGATCCATTTAGTCTCTATTCATCCAAACAAGGGCATATTCCCCACATTCTCTTGCCCTGGCTCTCCACAGCCAGATGCTAACAAAAGCCATCTTCTACCTACCACCAGAAGAACCAGAACTTTCCCCAAAGGATGAACAGAGTTGGACTAGGGGAGGAGGGAGCAAAAAAGGGAGGGGAGGGCTCTTATGTCTCTGACTTTCTGAACGGGTAAGCTCCCCTACTTCCTCTTTTCTGGATGTTTAGCTCTCACAATCTCATGACCCAAATGTTCCTACACACACATACATACCATCCCTCTTTCCCACAACTGTGTGGCTTTCCTCTTACTCTCTTGCAGATGGTGGTGCCAC